GCCAGAAAAATGATTGATTGATTATATAGACCGATCAGGCTATACAAATCATCCCGATCGGGATTTATAGCCCAATCGGGATAATCGTATAGGCCGATCGGGATATAAGTCATGACTCCGCACTGCCAGTTGATAGAAATACATACTGTGGTTATAAGATTCTTTTGTAAGAAGTTTATAAGACTTCTATAAGATTCTTATAGTCAAAAACAAAAATAAAGAAAAAAAACTTGTTTTTGTTGCCTGGTGGACCAGGGCAAAGTTTTGAACTTTGAAATTTTGGAACGTTTTTTATAAGGCACTATACGTTTATAAGTATCTATAAAAAAATTACAAGCTAAAATCTTAAAAAAATCTTATTCAATTCATATAAGATTCTTATATTGCGAATTACAAGAACCTTATAATTACAGTATGCATTTCTATCGACTGTAGCATATAAGATTTTCGTAAGATTCCTTCCTATAAGATTCTTATCTGATTTCCGTACTTTCGGTCGACTAGGGTATTTGATTCTGTAGTTTCGGAGCTCCTGAAAACCGTCGCATAACGAAGCCAAAATGGCATCTTTTGAGCTTGGTTTTTTTAAGTTCTGACGAAAAATAACTCCTGTACTAGATTCAGCGGCGAAAGTTTGTCTTAAAGCTTACCTTAAAGTTTTCTTCTTAAATTCAGCTGGTGGAAAAAAGCATAGTTTGGCCATTTTGAAATAAATTTTGGAATGTTAGATTTTTCAATGCTCATTTTGATTGGAACGAACTTTGAACTGCATGACGAGAAAGAACGCACTTGAGAGTACTTAAAAACAATTTTACTTCCGCTTCCTTGTCTTTAGAGTTGTTTAAAATACTCGAAAGTTCGTAAATCAAAATGGTTTAGAAAGTTGGTCCGTTTCTACGTGTTCAGTATTTCACATTTAATTTTTCTCCTTAACTTTTCTACAAGTTAGTCTGATCAAGTTTCGTAGAGAATTTGACAATTATCTTTTGGAAAAACAATCAGGTTTAAGGGTGGAAAAGATCTTCAACCTTCAAAACACTGCAGTAATGTCGTCCCATACTACGATAGAGGGTCTCTTCCAACACGATGTCTAAGTTTTCGTTTTTCACATCTATATAGCTGGTGGTGTAGCAATTGTCACGTTAAATCGTGAATATGGTGTAGCAATGGTCACACTAAATGGTGAATATGGTGTATATAAGCAGAGTGTTGGCTTCTCTCCATTTAGACCACTGATATGATCGATTACTGCTTGAATATAGTTTGATTGTAAACTTTTAATTGTACATTGATACACTTGTGTATAGAATAAATTGTTTAGCATCGCTGTAGCAATTGGCAGCATGCTGTCTATTTTATCTCCTCGTTCATACAACGATTGAATTGCATTCGGATCATTCTTTGGACTGAGATAGAATCCACTGAGTGATGACAGATCATTATAGTCAATGGTATCGTTCGTGCTGAATTTAACAGTAACATTCACTTTGGCCACTTTATTTGTACGTAGATGAGAACTTGACTGTAGAATAAAAATGATAGAGTCCACTGCAATTATTCAGTGAGGGAGTGCTTTCTTTATTCATTCGATAGCACCGTACGGTTCATAGGCATATGGTTCCCAGATTACTGTTGAAGGAAGATTCTTCAGCAGGGTAGCGAATACTTCACGTCTCAGTGTATTATGTTATTTCACAATTGTATAGATATCAACGCCGGGAAATGCAGTAGGAGCAGTGGAAGGTGAGCCACCAGCATAGTAAGCTGCTTCATTCATGAAATAGACAACGATATGAGCATTTTTTCATTGAATGTAGCAACCTGAAATCGTGAATCAATATATTTTTGAAAACCATGCAAGTCAACTTTATAGATTAAGTGGAGGGATGGCTGTAGAATACGTGTCACAGAGAAGGCCTTCTGTAAGATACTGATGCTGCTCTGCACGATTGCCGTAAGAAGAGTAGTTAACAGAATACATCAACTTCATCTTTATCTAGAGATATAAGAGCCTTGAGTTCCTCTTCGAAGCTGGGTAGTCATTCAACTAAACAGTAATTGCACTTCTTGAACTTGGCCTGAAAGTTTATCTATTAAAACCACTAACAATTGAAATGAATTCACTTCAAGTAAACGCTTTTGTAAAGCATTAAATTCGTCACCATCTGACGTTAATGGAATAAGTTATTTCAAGTTTTGTACTCATTATAAACAATTGAAAACAGAGAACAGTTTGCACTTTAAAAGTGCGTAGTGCAGTTAAAAAGTTTGGAGGTGTGCTTCCTAGGGTTATTGCGTAGAACAAAAATAAATATAAGATGCAAGTAAGGCAGAGTTGCAGTAAAAAATAATGTGGCCGTTTTTTTACATCATTCGATAGAGAATTCAGCATCGTGTTCGAATATCACGTTCCCGCCTCTGGAAAACGTTTTCTCGCCGAGATATCCTCTAAATACTGAGAACATGTCCAAAACCGGAAAAACTGGTCTTTCTTGAAAAGCTCTGCCGTTTTTCTCGCTTACATTTTCAAGGTTGAAGTCAAGTTTTTTGGATTCAGCATTGAAAACTGAATGTGAAAAAGTTACTGTCGAAGTCCTAAAACCAAAACCCTGTCCGCAGAAAATTTCAGAACCGCGATGAGTCAAAAATGGCGGCCTTTTCTCGAAAACCCATCTAGTTTTTTGTGGAGGGTCATAGCGCCCTAATACTAAACATTTCGAGATACACATCAGCCGGCTCATTTTTTGACTCTGATTCCGAATATGGTATTTTCATTGCTCAAAAGTTGAGTTATGGTGCAGAAAACTAGAAATTACGGGTAAAATTCGGACTTGTTCTCAAGCTTGTTCTCTGACGAATATAACCATGTGTGAATTAGGGCGCTATGACCCTCTGCTAACCTCAGCTAATGACCGCTGATCGAAGTTGAAAAACCAAACTTTCATTCAAATGTGCTTTTCCGCGTGGGGTCCGTACGGACCCCAGGTGGTGAAATGAGGATTAATTACAAAAAAACAGAAGCGCTATGGTCAGCTAGAGCGATCGGTATGCCTCCTTTTAAGCTTTTTTGTGGTGATAACGAAATAAATTGGGCAAGCACGTTTAAATACTTAGGATATTATCTGTCTTCTAAACTTGGGTGGTAAGATGTCAGATAGCTATAAGGTTAGAATTCGTCAGAGAATAGCAATAGTAAAATCTTGTAAGATATTTGGTACATCAAGTCCGCAATGTCGAACTATTCTTTTTTCTACTTATGTTCTCCCCCTTTTTACTTGGCTTTTTGTTAGCTTTCCTCTTCTTACAGCCTATCAGAGAGACGAACTATCTTATTTCCATTTTACATGTTTAAAGCGTGTTGTTTGTTGTGCTCACTGGAATGGCTATCTTTTTTCCTATTTGTATGATGCAATTTCTCTGGAAAATCGATGTTTTAATTATTGGCAAAAATTTGTCAATGCGTTCTCTCCATCCACCGCTCTACTGATGGACTCCTTTTGTTAAACCCATGTTTTTTAAACGTTTTTCAGAAGCAATGGCTTTGTGCTGATTTTCCTATTAGTTGTATCCATCGCTCAAAGCGTTTTGTTTCTTATACTTCTGCTATACAAAAATGTCTGGCTTGCTGATAACAATATGAATTCCATCCCGGATATATCTGTCGAGGAGTTTGATCTGTTTTTTTCGTTTCCTGAATTCTTTTTGTAAACAGTTGTACTTCTTTCTGTTCGTATTAATATTTAAATAAAGCACAATAACTAATCCATCAAATATAGAAAGCGATAAACATTGTGACGGCATCCCTAATCTGACTCCTCTTCCCCTTCGCTCTCACTCCCTCCTCCACTCGGCGGCTCGTGTCAACTCTGACCTATAGTGTCTCGCTCAGATAAAGTCACAAAGTGAAGTGAGTCATCAAGAGCGAAGAATATCTTGTGATTTCATCAACAACAACAATACGATAAAAGTTGAGTTTTTTTAATCGTTTATAATGAATAAAAGGTGAGTCAAAGATTACGTCCCCTCATTTGTTCGTTTTTGTGAAACAGGCGAAAGTGAGGTAAGTGAGAAAGATAAGAGGATGGTTAGACATGAAGAAGAGATCTTCTAGAAAGACTCATTTTAATATTGTGAAATGGTGCAATGTCGACGTTCTGCTCACAGACAGAATCCAACTATTTCTTAGTCTTCCTAGAACTTTCAGCTGATTTAATCACAATCTTTAAGTTATCACAGTAGTGAAATGAAAATATCTCGTCATGACAGTTTACTATACAAATCTTTTTTCGTCACTTTTTCTTAATTTTTTCATCACATCACTGTTTTTGCGAGTGTTTACTGCAGAAAAGAAACAAAAGGTGAGTGTCGTTGCTTTAAGTTTTCTTTTTTTGCATTCATCATTTCAAGGTCATATGATATGCAAAATAATTGGTTTTGCAATGATGATCATATACAGAATTAAATTTCTCGCGTTACACAGAACAGAACATGCAGACTCATATTTTCGGAACAACTATGCTAGTATACTTTTTAGTTTTTTGCTTCTAGTATGCAGCATTGAGTATTTAGTAAATAACTTAGTCTTTTGTTTCATATCTCGGTCAAAAAGGCATACCACCCCAAATCCTTTGGACATTCTTCTCGAAGTAAAGTCAGAGTAAAACATGATGCAAATACGGCTAAAAATGCGTCAAAAAAGACCGGTCTGATCTGAGTAGATCTGCAATTATAGATTTCTAGATGTTCAGATGTTCTGACAAACATCAGGGAAGAGCTCACTCTCAATGCCGTGTGTTCCGTATGATCATGATGTGGTGTAAACAGACATGATTTAAGATGAATTCAGTCGATCATCATTGTCCTCACTATAGAATAAGATATAATAATAAGCAAAGGGTACAAAAGAAACAGCATAGAAAGGAGGAAAAAGAAACGCACAAAGTTAAGTTGGAGTAATATAAACAGTTTATACGACCCAACCGACGCAAAACATCTTTCTCTCCATTATCGCCAAAGTTTCATTTAGAATTCATATTACTGAACTCATACAATGCCATCAGATGCCGGTATATTACGTACATCCGATTCTGCATTCATCGATCTATTAGATTATCCTTTTAAACCGAATTATATTGATGTATCAAATCCTGGTTGTATTGGCAATGGAGAAACAAAATTACGTCTACATTATTTAGACGAAGGAAATAAAAACAGTAAAGAAACAATTTTATTATTACACGGCGAACCAAGTTGGAGTTATTTGTATCGTCATTTTATACCATCGTTAAAACAGTATCGAGTAATTGCTGTTGATTTAATCGGGTTTGGTAAATCGGATAAACCAGTGAATAAAGTCGATTATACATACCAAAGACATGTTAACTGGATAAAAGAATTTATTGAATATTTAAATTTAAATAATATTACATTATTTTGTCAGGTAAGCGTGAAGTAAAGATCCCCACACAGATCTGGAAGGTTATGGTGATTTACAAAACTGATAAATTATAATGCTATGAGGACCGGTCGTGAGACTTAGTTATACGTACGTTCTAGAATTATAGTAGAACAAATGAGCGTAAAGAAAATGTAATCAAGTATTTCCAGAGTGCGATCGAGTTTTTCAAAAGTACCAAAAGTATGATCCCACTCCAAGGAGTGCAAAATCGCTGCCCACGATCTATACATGTTTGGAAAAAGTCACTTCTACATAATTATTGTTTTACTCAATAGGAACCTGATAGGTGTTTATGAATTTTACTTCAACTTAAAGTTCAAGACAAAACTGCTAGAGCAAAATATCTTGCAATAAAGAACAAGTTGTCCGCTGCAAACAGAAAACAAAGATTTTTGAAAAGTTGCACTTTCTCGATTCAGAATTTTCTTTTCTTAAATTTAAGTATGAGATCTTAAGAAAAAGAAGACGTCAACTTCAGATAAGATTATTTCACAAGGGCATCGAAAGCTGTTACAGATATTAGATTACTTTGGTGTATTTTCTGCGCAATTTTTCTGCAGAAATTTAAGTACGATCCTGAAACAAGGTTCGTTTTCGCTAAAACTTTCCTTTGGTGATTGTTTCAAGAGCATTTCATTCTCTACGAAATGAATTATCATACGTCCAAGAGTGACTTCTCCCTGTATATGTACATGCTCTTCCCTACTCTTCAAAATTCGAAAATCTCCACCATTTTATTAGATCTGAAATCCGAATTCATGCCGCCTAATGGGTTGAGCAAGGACGAAACGGGTCGTGGCTACTTCAGGCAGCAAACGGGTAGAACAAAGAATGTTAGATAGCTTTAAAATACCCTGCAGCACAGTGCATATACGTATATCACAGGTAATAAACAATATGTCTACATTCCACACATTCACTCGCCTCAACGTCTTGGATTAAGCGGTGAGCGTACGAGCAACGAGGAGGGAAAACTATTATGGTACTAACTTAATGCAAATGTGACACTGCTATTCCTACGAGAATCTGAAACCCAACATTTCTACGGAACGTCCTGGAAAATTGCGCTGTACTGTAGAACCTGTCAGCACTAGTTTTGAAAAAAATATACATGTATGTATCGATCGTTGCCTTTTGTAATTTCAGTCCTACTCTTTAGTTACTGTTGTGTTAGATGTACATGCTCCTCCCTACTCTTCAAAATTCGCAAATTTCAACCATTTTATTACAGAAAATTTAAAGTTCCCGAAATTAAAACTTGGTAAGCAAAACATTGTCAGTTTTCGAGCAGACTCCACGTGCAACATCAAGCAGAACAG